TCATTTTCCTTCTCATTATCGGAGCCAAGAGGAGCTGTAAGATCAAAATTAAGAATGCAAATAGCATCGCCCTTAGAGATAATAAGACATAAATATCTTTCACGGACGGTCTCCATTTGGGGGCGAGAGAGAAGCAAAAGGAGAAACGAAAGCCGTGCTCGAGGTCGTGAGTTGCGAGTCGCGAGAGAGGAACAAAGGGGTAAACAAACCAGGTCGTTTGGGTTGAGGTAAAGCAAGCCATTTGGCGGCGGACTCTGTGCACGCGGAAGAGAAACCTCACTCGAGGTCGCGAGTCGTGAGAGTGGAGCGAAGGGAAAAAGAAGCATGCTCCATAGACAGATGAGAAAATGAAGCAGTGAAGGGGAAAACGAAGCATCGACCAAGGAACCAATCAAAAAAATTGGGGTTGTTTTATACTTATAATACTATAATTATTTATATAACTTGATAAGCACAAATGATAAGTGATTTTATCTATAGAGCAGTCGACCCACATATCCATGTGATCTGCTCCATTACTGTTGTACTGCATATCTTCAATCTCTAACTAACTATGTAACAAGAGTATGATGGTATATGCTAAATATTAAGAGTTATTACACACAAGCAATTTTCCCAAAATAAAAAATACTATACATAAGCAATAGAATGAAAGCCTGATAGTTCATTACCAATAGAACTCTCTGTTATTTCTTTCCCTTTTTTTTCTATTATTCTTCTCTACTTTTTTATTTTTCTAGTGCAGCTTGTTATTCAACAAAAGTTTTTTTTTTTTTTTTTTTTTTTTTTTGGGGGGGGGGGGGCGTGTGCCTCCCCTTGCCCCCTTCCCTCCGCCTATGATGAGAAGTGTAGTTAAAGTTATGTTCATTGAGAGTTCTCGGTTATTTTGCTCAATAGGTGCCAAAGAAGTCAAAGATTTTAAATATTCATCTTTACCCTTTATTTTTAAGAATTAAAAGGTTATAAGAAAGACTACATCAAGTAAAAATTGAATAGAAAAAATATGGTTTAATAACTCTTTAATACAATATGTGTAGACACATGTCACAATTTGATTGAAGTTGTTGTTAGCTCGTGCTGGAACTCGAGATTGTCTAAGAGTGGGAAGCGAGAGAAGTGTAGTTAAAGTTATGGTCATTGAGAGTTCTCGGTTATTTTTCTCAATAGGTGCCAAAGAAGTCAAAGATTTTAAATATTCATCTTTACCCTTTATTTATAAGAATTCAAAGGTTATAAGAAAGACTACATCAAGTAAAAATTGAATAGAAAAAATATGGTTCAATAACTCTTTAATACAATGTGCGTAGACACATGTCACAATTTGATTGAAGTTGTTGTTAGCTCGTGCAGGAACTCGAGATTGTCTAAGAGTGGGAAGCAAGTTAGCTTGGATTGTTGGGAAGGTAAGCTTTATAGTCGGCTAGTTGTGATATGGTGAGTTAAGAGCCCTCTTAGGCAGCCCTTTTCTATAGCTGAGGCATCGAGCATAGTTGATGAAACTTCATCGTGAGTGATGGTGAGTAGCTTTGATGGCTAGTCCTCCTAGGAGGTGAGTGGCAAGTTGAGAGTTGTGTGATTCACTGAAACCCTTGGTTTGTGTGGGAGGCAGCAGAACCTAAAACAACACATATTTTATATCGAGTCACATCATGTTGGATGCATAATAGTTAATACTTAAAGATATATTTGGAAGGAAATTTTTTCTTATATAATAATAATATAGTCACTAACATTTTTAAAAGATAGTAAATTAAATCATCATTTATTTATTTATTATATCAAATGGTTATACAATTAAAAATATCTATTTATAACAATTATGGTGCATCCATCTCTATTTATCATCATATAATATCAATACTACAACAACAACAACATCAAGCCTTTATCCTACTACGTGGGGTCGGCTACATGAATCCTTTTTCTTCATTGTGTCCTATTAAAAGTCAAATTCTCGTTTAAATCTTATAAAGAAAGGTCATTCCTAATATTTTCTAACCAAGTCTTTTTAGGTCTACCCCTACCTTTCTTAACATAAGTCAAATCTAATACCTTTACTCTCCTAACCGGGTCATCGGACGGCCGTCATTTTATGTGACCAAACCATCTAAGGCGACTCTCTCTAATCTTATCTTCTACTGGAGCTACTCCATCCTTTTCACGTATATGCTCATTTCGTATCCTATCTCTAAGGGTAAAGCTACTCATCCACCTGAGCATCCTCATCTCTGCCACACTTAACTTAGTATTATGCTTCTCTTTTAATGGCCAACATTCGGCACCATAAAGCATTGCAGGCCTCACTACCATCTTATAGAATTTTCCCTTAAGTTTGAGGGGTACATTTCTATCACATAACTAGCCCGTTGCATTCCTCCACTTCAACCATCCAACTTGAATTCTGCTGATAATATCCCCATCTATTTCACCATCAGTCTGAACAATAGATCCAAGATATCTAAAACATGTACTCTTATTAATTATTTGATCGCCCAAAGTCACAATCCCCTCACTAGGTCTATTACTACTAAAATTACACTCCATATATTCCGTTTTTGATCTACTCAAGCGAAAACCTTTAGACTCTAAGGTTGACCTCCATAATTCAAGTTTACCTTCAACTCCCTCTCTAGTCTTATCAACAAGAAGAATATCATCAGCAAAAAGCATACACCAAGGTACATCCTCTTGTCAATGTCTAGTGAGAACATCCATGACTAAAGCAAAAAGATATGGGTTTAAGGCTGATCCTTGATGTAACCCAATCGAAATAGGGAAATACTTGGTCAATCCACTTTGTGTTTGAACACAAGTAATAGCTCCTGCATACATATCTTTAATGATTTGAATATAAACATTATTGACTCCTTTCTTTTCAAGAACTCTCCATAGTACTTCTCTTGGAACAAATAATGTACTAACAAAAGATATGCACATCAATAATATCAAAATAAGCATACATATCTTTAATGATTTGAATAAAAGCATTATTGACTCCTTTCTTTTCATCATATAATATCAATATGATTGTAAAAATAATGTACTAACAAAAGATATGCACATCAATAAGAATCTGCTTAACTCGAAACACTACTCAATCAGATTTTTTTTTTTTTCTTTCCATATGTAGGTAAAATAGAAACGAGCATCAATTGCTCAATAGGTTATTCAAAACTACCAAAATTTAATAGACCAAAAGATAATAAATAAACAGTGTGTCAAAAATAGCAATGCTTGTTTTAATTATAGAAACCTTTACAGTAATGCTTACGATAATAATATTAAATACAATATATCAACATATCAAATGTTTTGCCTTATTAAGTCCAACATCAATTGGAAAATTTAATAGAAGGACGTGTTAGGTTGTAATATAAAAATAATTGAAATAAAACATATTATGTCAATTTTTTCTCCAGCCCTTACATCTCTTAATTACTTCACATATTCATCATTAAGCCCATATATGCTCAATTATTTAATGTGTATACATCTAAAATATTTCATATACTCATCATTAAACCCTTATACCTCTCAAGTATATTTTATTTTTACAGTATTGAGCCCTTATATCTCTCAAGTAATTCTAATAGTATTCATCAGACATTTATACATGTCAAGTATTTCATGTGTGCAATTTTAGACTCTTATACCTCCTAATTATTTTATTTATACAATATCTGACCCCTTACGCCTCCCAAGCATTTGATGTCAGACCCCTATACCTCACAAGCATTTCATGTGTATTATATTTGGCCTTTATATCTCTTATTGAAGCCTTTTTATCTCCCAATAAATATTTATACATACTTCATAACATCTTGTTATTATATAATATTTTCTTTTATAAATTATTTGTAATACATTAATATCACTATATTAGTTTTTAAATGATTTAGAATAATCCACATTAGTATATAACCTTGCATATTAATTTGCAATTATAAGAAATAAAAGAATTTACAAGAATTATCAGAATACGCAACTCAAAAAAATTTTTTTTTTTAACTGTAACACTTAAGAAGGGTTATACTCAACTTAATATGTAGAAAACAAAAGTATGGCCACATAACATTTATAGCTTCGTAACAGTGCTCTAGATGCTTTACTACATACAGTATTAGGTTTTGGCAATTTATCAGCATACCCAAAATGCCAAACAATTTGAAATATCTAGTGAAAATTTAAAATACATATGTCCATATGTGTAGAATGAGTAGAGTAATAACATTCCAAAAGTTACATGAAAAAAATTGCTTGGGTATCGAGGAGTCAGAGAGTTTTTTCGATTGGCCCAACAGGTTAAATTAACCTCAAAACTTTGGAATCTCACTTCTCTCTCCTCTTATTGTCGTCTTCTTCCTTTACTTCTTCCCGCAGCAACTCATGACCAAAGGATAAAAAGGAGTTGCTTCATGTAAATTTGGATATTTATAAAAGAAAATAATTTTTGAATCGCCAAGGCGACACCTTCGTAATGCCCCAAGAGATGCTTTTCAACTAATTTTGTTTTGAAAATAGTGAGATGAGAGCCACAGAGTCAACACTGTAGCGTGACAGCGCCCTAAGTTATGTTTTCCAATTATCAAATTATTGAAAGCAAATATATGAGTGTCGCAGCGCCAACATGAAAGTCCCACAACACCTCCTAGAGAGTTTCTTCCAACTCAACAAATTTTTTTGCCAAATTTAACCAAAAAATTTTTACCCATGAATTCACAGAAAATCAATGAATGTCATGTAAACATGCAAGTCTTATCAGATCTAAATTAGGTCACATCAAGTTGTTCTTCATTTTCTGCTAGATTGTGATCTTTGGGGCGAGTTTATTTTTGGAATCATGAATTACAAGCTTTTTTGCTATGATCCACTGGCCTGCTAAATATATGAGAAGACATATGCGGGTATACACCATGAGAGAGGCTTCTTTGAATCATTTGTAGTCCTGACAAATGTGATTGTTCTAGCTATATCTAGTACTGATCTTCTTAATTAAGCAGGGAGCTGGTGCTAGCCTTACCACAACAATTGTGGCTCCAGTGGGGTCTTTAACGAGGGATGCTGAAAAATAGTTTTGTAAGTGTATTGTGGATTTATCCCTTGTTTTTGTATCATTCATGTCAGAAAGGGGTCGACTATGTTTCCCCAACTAGTTTGTGAGACGATTAACCTTGACTGCATTATAATATTCAACTCTTGTTGGAAAGAGAGGTTCTTTTGGTGAATTACTTTGATGGCTTTAAATTGAAATTGTTCTAAAAATATTTTATTTTATTTAAGCCTGATGTTCAGATTATATTTATTTAGACCTATTTAGCCGCTTTATTTTCTTAGACTCACGGTCCTCTGGTGTCCACACGAGCAATGATATCTTTCATATTCAAGGTTGGCCAAGTTTCCTTTTACAGTGGTCCTGCTGGAGGTTCCTCTTTAATTATTATAATAACTGGATAATTTTCAGTTATATGGATCTTTTCTTGTGGGTTGGTTGAGCAGGATTAACTTTATAAAACATAGAATGTTTTTTATAAAGTGTGAAATTAATCTTGTTCATCTAATTCACATGGGATGACTATGGGTCTCTTCGGGATAATTTTTTTACTTATATACTTTATAGATCACAATCATAATTTTTTTATTATTGTTTTGTTAGTGTTTTCATTAAATATTTGTGCGTGGAAGTTATTTTTTTATGCCAGCGTTAAAAAATTAATTTTTTTCATAATAGTTTTTCAATTGTTTTTCAGTTGTCTAAAATAATTACTTATGTACTTGTATGATAATTAAGGGTGTGCTTGGGACGGCTGCAGTTGGCGGTAAAGTAGGTTGTGAAATTATTGTATAGAAAGTTGCTTCCTGAAGTTGCTTTAAAGAAATCATTATATTTTGTTTGGATAGTATAACTGCAGAGCTATTGTGCTGCAGCTGCATGGAAACAATTTACCTTCATACCCCTATATATATCTAAATGACATATATAATTTTTTAAAATTTAAATTTTTTTAAATGTATATAATCAACTTAACAATTCTAAATTAAAATTGTATCACCTCTTAAGTTGGTACAACTTTTTTTAAATATTTTAAAGCTGCCAAATTTTTTTTTTAAATATTGTTGTAAAAAAATAAATTTTTATTAAAAATATTTGAAAGCCATACAAAAAATGAAAAAAAAATATAAATTATAATTACGATTTCAAAAGCTACGTAAAAAAAAATTTATTCATGCCTTAATTTTAATTTTGATAAAATTTGAATAAAATATGTTAAAATTTTTGTTATTTCATTTCTACCGAAGTTGACAAATACACCTAAGAATACTTGAAAAATATCTTTTACAAGAAGTAAAAATGTGTGCTGACTGCTAAAGAAAATCTAAGAAAAGTTTGAATAAAACATTACTTTTATTAACAATAATAATTAAATGATATCAAATTCAAAAATCTGTATAATTTAAATAGATAGTAAAATTAAATTGTCAGGAAACATGTTCATACAAGACATTAATATCAAATTTACTGCAATGAAGAGCGATAAAAAGGAAGAAGAGTTCGATCTACCTGATAACTGGGGTCTCGAGCGTGGTGAGAAGCAGGAGTGGATATCGCGGAATTTGCGAGGATGTAGAAGAAAATGGGGGTAGTTCGTAGAGTAAGGATATTAAAGTATTTCTCATAGATACGAACAACGGTAAGCAGCCGAAAAGCGGGAGTCTTTTGCTGGACGTGAGAAGCAACGGTGGGACGTAAAAATTTCGAGAACGGAGCACGAACATGTACTCCCAAACCACCATTGGGTTACGTTTCATACAGTACAGCAGGGAAACAACCATCCCAAACGAAGCCTAAGACTTCTTATGTGACATCGTTCTTACTATTTGTAAAGCTACTATAGAAAAAGTAATTTTTTAAAGTTGTTATAGAAAGTAATTATTTAGTTCAATATTTTTTTTAAAGTAGTAAAAAAGCAGTGGACCAATAAAAATTATGATTATGATAAAACTGTTGGAGATGCAGCATAAGTCTACCAAATCAATTATTTACTTCACATATTTAATGTGTCTTTCAGATAACTTCTAGATTTTTTTGAACTTTTAGAGCCATGATTTTTTTTTAATTGCCCGCAATATCTATAACACGCCTAATTACTGAATATATCCGTACTTATAAGTCTACTTGATATATTCGTAAATCATCTTCCATTAATTCTCATTGAATAGAAAAAATATTTTCATACGTAGTTGTTGTGTCCTGCAGTATTAGCCGCGGTAGAGAAATATAAAGTTTAAAGTCTTAGTTTTGTACGGAGATCCAACACGCAATCAGATAAGAGAGCAAAGGTGTAGCATTCATAGGAGACATCAAGATTTTTATGTGAAAAATCCGAAATAGGAAAAAAAATCATGGGGCCTAGCCCAATTTGAATGAATCCACTAGTATTTGCAGTTGATTACAAATGTGGCTCTTCATTGGAAGGAATGCCATGACTTTATGTAACAAATATACACCATACAGAGTGTGTTACATTGTGGAAATAAGAAGAATCATTGTTGATGTGTTCGCTTGGTTATAAGGGACATAAATGGTGGACGACAGAGGTCGGAAGGACTATAGTCGGTGGACGACAAAGGTCGAAATAACCGTAGTTGGTGGGCGACATAAGTCGGAAGGACAGTAGTCGGCGAGCAAAGGTCTTAAAGACTATTGTTTGGCGACGGAGGTCGCAAGGATCGTAGTCGATGTCAGGTAGAAGTCCAATGTAAGATAGAAGTCTAACAAATGTCTAGCGACAGACAGAAGTCCGGCGTCGGATAGAAGTCCTATGGAAATCCGGTGGCGGGCAGAACTCCGGCATCGGGCAAGAATATAGTAATAGTTGGAAGTCTAGCATTGGGTAGAATCAGGCGTCGGGCGGAAGTCCGACGCTTGGTAGAATCTGTTGATGGACAGAAGTTCAGCGTCGGATAGAAGCCTGGCGAAAGTCCGGCGATGGGCAGAAGTCCGACGTCGGGTAGAAATCCGGCGACTAGCGAAGGTCTGGATTCGGGTAGAAGTCCAGCGTCAGTCGGCGGCAGGGCAGAACTCTGGTGTCAAATGACATTCAGGCATAACTCCGGGTGGAAGTCCGGTAGTGGTCAAGGAAGAGTCTAGTGACAAGAGAGCTCTCATTCTTCTCTTCCTTTTGTTCCTTCTATTCTTGCTTCCTTGCCTAATTCTAGCATCAATTGGTGATCGAGTAGAAGTTTGACGTCAGACGAAGAGCTGTCTCTTCCTTCTCTTCCTAACTTCCTTCTCTTCTCTTCTTTCTTGAGCCTTCTTCCCCTCCTTTTGGGGAGCCCATTTCTATGAGAAATGAGGGGTCTATTTATAATTTTATGAGAGTGACATGACTAATAAATTGGAGGAAGATCAGGGGTAAATTGGGAGTGGTTTTAATGAATGATCTATATTGATTTCCTTGATCATAGACCGTTTATTGGACATTTGAATGTCTTAATGATATCATAATTTGCTGATCTTGGGCTCGTTGGATTCTTCTCATTGAGCCGCTCGATTCGACTATAAGCATGTCATGTTTGGAAACCGTTTGTTAATCCAATTTATGGTTTGGACCTTCCAAATGTACTTGGATCTTTGATTTGCACCCATTTGAGCTCGGATTGAGTCGAATTTAGTGTCGTTGGGTTCGTATTTCTTAGATGTTCTATTCATCTATAAGTTTGCTGAAATCAGAGTTCAGATGGTCTCTGATTTAATTTTTAAAGTTTCCAATCTTGATTTTGCTTCGAGATTTGTGCACGATCAAGATATTTTTTTGATGATATATTACTTGCTCCCTATTTTTGAACGTAGAAGCTCCAGCAGTTCAAAAATATGTATTACAACTTTTGAGAAAATTTTTATGCGATTTGAAACCCAAAAATAATTATGATCTTGGGCGTAGAGGTCTTGAATAGTTTTAAAATGCTAAATTTGAGTCCGGTGCGTGTGGTCAAAAGGCGGCTTTCTTGTTTAGAATTTTCCTCCTTCCAATTAACTAAATTTGTAGTTAGATTTCAATTTTCCTTAGCATGTCCAAGGAACATAAACTTCTCGTTCAAGCAAGCAATGAGTAGAATAAAGTTATCTGCCCAGAACATCAAGGCTACTTATAATATCGTACTTTAGCTGGAATAAGCTCCTTTAAATGAAGCCTACATCAGGGATGCTTTAAGAATTCAAATTAAGCTATACCATCCCGGAGGCGGCTTGTTACTGTGCCGGCCAAAGTCGCGCTCCTTGGCTCTATGTGCAGCCGGTTATAATAACCGTCTGCAAAAATAATTTTTTTTAATAAAATTTTATATAATATGCTGCCCGTCCCTAATTTCTTCTTTTTTTTTTTTAATGTTGCCACCGCACTATTTTTTTTCAAACAGAATTTTTTTTTTTTTAAACCGTGGCGGACTCTGATCAAAAAGGGTTTTTTTTTTGGGCGGACTCCACGTTTTTTTAAAAGAAATTTTGAGAAAGGGTGCGGCAGCTTCAACTAATTTTTTTTTTTTCAAATTTCGGATTTTTTTTTGTCAAAATGATTTTTTAATCTGAAATTTATCAATGTGTGGGTCCCACAAAATTCTAGAAAAATCTTGAAGACATTTTTAAAAAATTTCAAACGAATTGAGGCAAAATTCCCCCAATTTTCAAACGATTTCCTCCCTTTTCAACCTATAAATAATCCCTTGGAACAAGGGAAAAATTGCACATTTCCTTTCTCCTTCTCCGTATGACTTTTTTATAGTTAATGCATTCCACTATTTCTAGTAGGCGGTATCACTTACTTAAATTCAGTGCCATCCTCCTTGTGTAGAAGATAAAATTTTTTTCGCCTTCCATTTTCTTCTCCTTTGATCTTCTTCTTACATTAAAGACATTATACTATCTTAAATAGATGACATCTCCTACCAAGCTTTAGTGTCCGTCTCTTGTGTAGAAGAAGTCACGATAAGAGCTTATTCTCTCCATATATAACCCTTAACAAAAAAAGATCAACTACCTCTTGCACGCGAGGGTGATTTGAGAAGATCTGACGATAGTAGCACCTGAGAGGAAAGTTGGTGATTGTTAGTAGATGACTAGAATTTTGATGATGCTTGAGGAAAAGTCCGGAGACGATCGGCGATCGGGTGAAAGTTTGACGTCAATCGATAATCAGGTGAAGAGCTGAAGGAGATAATTGGAGGCTGTGCTGCTAATAATAGTCGAGCAAAAAGCTGATGATGGTTGATATGAGGTGAAGAG